GAAGGATCAGGGATGAAAGGTCACATTGCGGTGAAGGGTCACAGGGCAGTGAACAGTCATTCAGGCCACTTCGGGGGGCAAGGTTGAGTCTACCAACAGATCAGCCACAATCCTATTGAACAGTAGAGCAGGCTTGAGGGGCCAAGTGGCCTTCCTCCTGAGTGGTGCATGGAAAGCAAATTCCCAGTTTCAAAGCTCACCACCCCGCCCCCCCCGCCAAGCTGTGAAGCTAATTCATCGCCCAGACCACACAAATTAAAAATACAATTGGCGAAGCGAGCAGGCAAAGATCTGGAAAACAGAGTACAATGTGATAAAACGTGAAGGATTTCGGCCCCAAACGTGGACTTTCCTGCTCCTCTGATGCTGTCTGACTTGCTGTGTTTATCTAGCTCCTTAATTAAGGACTCTGGCTTCCACCATCTGCAGTCCTTACTGTCTCGTAGTGATAAAATGTGAAATTGTCGGTTTTGGCACGAAGAATAATAAAGGAAGCATACGATCGAGATGGTTAGGCTGCAGAGCTCTGACATGCAGAGGGATCTGGGTGAGCCAGTAGACAAATTAAAACAGGCTCAAATGGAGATACAGCAAGTCATTAGGAATGCACATAGAACATTATCATTTAACATGAGGGGAATTGAATTCAAACATAGGAGGTTATTCTTCAGTTACACAGGGCACATCTGGAATAATGTGCACAACATAGGTTGCCTTGTTTAAAGGAAGCATGTAAATGAATGCCAAGTTGATCAGAGAAGTTTTCCCAGACTAATACATGGGATGGCTGGATTATCTTGGGTAAGACAGGCCAAAGCTTGTATCCACTCCAGTTTAGAAGAATAACAGTTGTCCTAATAGACACAGCGACAATGTTTCCTGATGTGAAGAAAATCAAGAACGAGGGTTCACTGTTGAAAACCAGAATCGGCTATTTAAGATGAAGATTAAGCTTTTTTTTTTAAGATCCTCCCTGAGGTTGAGAGGTTTTGGAGTTACTTTACGTAAACGTAGTGGAAGCAGAGTCCTTAACTATTTCCAAGGCAGAGTTGGATGGACTCTAGCTAAGCGAGGAACTGCAAGGTTAGCAAGGGTCGGGGGAATGTGGATTCAGAGATGCAATCAGAGCAGCCATAACCTTATTGAATGGTAGAGGAGAGCCGGGGGGTGCCTCCTATCGCTCAAGTCACCCCAGTGACACTTCCTGGTTCTGTCTCCTCCCACCCGGCAAGCATATCAGTTGAACTCCTGTGTCAGCTCTTCTCCCCACACCCAAGCCCCCCCACCACCACCAGTCAAATCCATCTCCCTCAGCTCAACTGTTCCCTCTGGGCAAACCCATTCTACTCCCTAAACGTCTGATATATCACCCCCATCCCAAAGGAAAAAAAAACATAAGATTCTCAGTAGAATCCTAGAGAGAAGCTTGTACAGCCACACACCGGGATATGGATGGAGATGAACTTCAAGATAATATTAGCAGGTAGGAATTTAAATCGTACAGTCACACCCTGGAATATGGATGGAGATGAACTTCATGATAATTTAGCAGGCAGAAATTTGAATTGCCCAAACGGTTGACAGCCAGCAGTGTGTCAGGAGATGCACTGGCAGTAAATCCAAGCTACAGCTGTGAGGTGTAAGCAGATAGAAGGTGGACTAAAGTCAGAAAAGATGTGCGCAATGCCAATGGTATCCGATGAAAGTCAGTTTGCAACACACAAGCTCCGGTCTGGGAGAGCCGGACTGTTTTCACGCTGCAGCGTTCTAGTTCTCAAACCAAACAGACTCATTCAGGATCATTTCTTCCCCCCCGGGAGAAATACTGAGCAGGCACGTTGCTCTGATGGTGAAATTGGCTGCATGCTGCTGACACAAAACGCGCTGATCAAAGAACAAAGAAAATTACAGCACAGGAACAGGCCCTTCAGCCCTCCAAGCCTGTGCCGATCCAGATCCTCTATCTAAACCCGTTGCCTATTTTCCAAGGATCTGTATCCCTCTGCTCCCTGCCCATTCATGTGTCTGTCTAGTTACATCTTAAATGACGCTATCGTGCCCACCTCTACCACCTCCGCTGGCAACGTGTTCCAGGCACCCACCACCCTCTGCGTAAGGAACTTTCCACGCATATCTCCCTCGCTGATTTGAGAAAAAAAACAAGTCGGGCCGTTCTCCCAGTTTGTCTGGCCGTACAGTGAGAACCGATCCCCGGCTGACTCAGCGGGGTGAGGCAAGCTGACTGCCATCTCCGTACAGCGGGAACTGGGGGACAAAATGAGTCAAATCTAGAGGCGCCATGGGTCTAGATTCCACAGAATAACAGCAGAACATCTGGGGACGGAGGAGTAAACAAGAAGTGAAGTCGGAATACCGGGAATGGGGTACAGGAGCTCACAACCTGAGCTGGGAAAGCGGGCGCTGAACAGTCTGACATAGGGAAAGCTTGAGTGACTTACAAAACTCCTTACTCCAACCCCCTCCAACAAACCTTGTCATCACATGGGCCGCCATCACGCACAACCCATTGTCAGCCACTAATGGTCCCCGTTAGTGCCCAGACTGACCTTTACCCACTCCTTTGTCTGTCCAACTGTTTCTATCTCTCTCTTTGAGCTTTATCTCCATCTTTTATTTACTCCTCACCACTCCCGGTTCTCCAAAACAAAACCACCTTCTGCATAAATACCAACTTTTTCCCCAGCTACCATCAGTTCTGACAGTGGCTCACCGGACCTGAAACATTAACTCTGCCTCCTCTCGCTGCTGGACCTGCTGAGTTTTCCCAACAGTTTCTGTCTCCGAGCCGAGCAAAAGGATGGGCTGCTCTTTATCCTTCGGCTTTGAAAGTGCATCAAAAAGTCAAAGCAAACGGGTGAATCAAAGAACCGAGGACAGGAAGAAGTATCCTTTAAGAGGAAATGTGTTTTTCATCGAGCGTCTGAGTAACAAAATGGGCTTTTTTTTTTGGGAAGTCAAAAGTCATTTCCTTTAACTTCTCTCTTGGACTTCCAAGAGCAACCAGAATTCTGAGTGATTTTCCCCTCATTTCAAACTTACATCTGGGTTGGACAAAATAAAACTGGTTTCCACACCCAGAGAATAGACAAAACCTTTTCAAGTCAAATCTGAAATGTTACCTTAAGCTGGAGATGGATTTAAGATTTATCAACTTGTTCCTCGAGCCACAGAGCAGCAAGTCTGCTTAAGAGATCAGAACTGGGAATCGGATATTTGAGCATTGCGATTAAACTAACTCTTGGACATGTTGTAAGGAGAGGCTGGGACTTTGTTTCACTGCAGTGGTAGGAGGTTGAGGGGTGACCTTATAAAGGTTCATAAAATCATGAGGGGCATGCATAAGGTGAATAGCAAAAGTCTTTTATCCAGGATCGGGGAATTGAAAACCAGAGGGGCATAGGTTTAAGGTGAGAGGGGAAAGATTTAAAAGGGACCGGAGGGGCAACTTTTTCACACAGAGGGTGGTGCGTGTATGGAACGAGCTGCCAGAAGAAGTGGTGGAGGCTGGTACAATTACAACATGTAAAAGGCTGGGTATATGGATAGGAAGGGTTTAGAGGGATATGGGCCAAATGCTGGAAAATGGGACTAGATTAGTTTAGGATATTGGGTTAGCACGGACGAGTTGGACCGAAGGGTTGTTTCTGCGTCTTTTTGACTCTATTACGAACCAGCGCAAAGTTATCCTTCAGGCACCAGATCGAACAGCAAACATGGGGAGGAAAGATCAACACCTTTAAGATGTTTCCAAATGCGGTTGCAAACTAGCCCATAGCAGTAGAAACCGATGCTAATAAACACACGATCGCACTATTACATTTCGGTAACACTGGCCTGCAGGAGACATTTTCCAGAGTTGTCCCCAGGAGTGAGGAGTTCCGGTCAGGAATATGTTTGCCCGAGACTATGGAGGAAACTTTAAGTAAAATACCGAGAAGGGACGAGGCTGTTGGAGAAGGGAAAACGCGCAAGGCTACAGTGGGGGGCGGGTGGGCGGGATTTCAGGGGCTGCCTTCCCTTGGGATTTCTCCTGCTGCTGTGCAGATCTCCTAAGTCTTTCCACTCCCACGATTTCCGGACACGACGGTCAACGCGGCTGCCCGGCTCGAAGGAAGGATGCCGAGGAGAAGGGCACCACGATGAGGAGCCGCTAATGTCAACGGCCAGCGCGGACACAACAGG